AAGCGGTCACCGGTGACCGCGACCTATTGTTCTTTAATTGTGTCTATAAAACCGGTACTCGACGAGTTAAATAGCAAAGTTTTTCTTCCAGAAAAAGATGTTAAACATATTAATTAAAAAAGTGAAGATAATGTTTTACGCACAATTTATTTTGAGATGTATTTCAATTCAATGATAGTAAGTAATCAATCGTTTATTAGTCTAGACTAGGATCAATCAATCAAGTACTAGAATGAATTAGTACATTATCTATTTGATCGCGATAATATGAAATGGAGAATTAAATAAAAAACATAACAAAAATCACGCCTTTTATCCCCGAAGGGGTAGGCAGAGGTGCACATTATGCCACTTTTCACTATTTATGTTATGAGTCCCATGTAATAGGGGGTGAACCTATTGCTATATACCGGGCACAATTCCATATTCCGTGGTACTACTAAGAATTTTTTTAAAACCCAGTAATACTTTGCCCGACCCGGGAATCGAATCCGCGACCCCGGCAGTCGCACTTGCGACCACTCGGCCAACGAGGCAGTCATGTCAAAAACCCATATATGTCCTAAAACTGCTACTTGATAGAATTGGCGCCGGTGCACCTACTAGCCAAAAAGTTGATTCTCATGCCTCGTCAGGTATAGAATTTTTTGCCAAGGACGTTTAAATTGATTTGAATGAACTTCTAATGCATGGGACTCATAACGTACTCTCGAGTGAACTGGAAGATTTTTTGAATAATCTAAATACTATATGAGCTTCGCCTGACTCAGTAATAATGTCCGTCTGGTAGATTATATTAAAACATTAGACTGTCGACGATATATTGATTCGAAATATAACGTGACGTCACTTCTATGTACGTTTTTATACTTAGAAATTGACGTAGCTACCTCCCACTCCTAAACTCTGATTCGTTTTATCTAAGTATTGTTTTCTCATTCGACAAAACAAAAAATACTCGTCTAATATTCTGTCTTTACCTAATTGGTACCCAACTAACAGGGTAAAGGATACATTGGGAATTCAAACAAAGTAACAAGTGGAACACTAGTTATTGAATAATACTAACCCCACTGGTTTTGTCGTAACAGAACAGGCTTGTGAAACAGGATTACGCGGGTTCAATCACCGGGTAATGTAAAAACTGTGTAGTGAATTTTCTCTTATAAAATACGTATACATGGTTGAATACACTGCCTCGTTGGCCGAGTGATCGCAAGTGCGTCTACCGGAATTGGGGACTCGGGTACGATTCCCGGGTCGGGCAAAGTGTTATTAGTTTTTTTCGAAATCTCAGTAGTAGCACGAAGTCTGGAATTGTGTCCGGTATATGGCAATAAACTCACTCCCTATTACATGGGACTCATAACATAAATAGTGAAAAGTGGTCGTTACATTGTACAGTGGGATTAAGTGTCGTAATGTGCACCTCTGCCTACCCTTCGGGGATGAAAAATGTATTGTTATATGTATTTAAACAGCAATATCCTAACACTGGTCTTACTCTTGAATCCAATTCCGATCGATCGACATTGGTATTGTGAAATATCGTACTCTTGAGTTGCAATACTAGCACCCATTAGAGATTGATGCTGCATGGTCTTTGTCAAACGAAATCCGATATTAGGCTCATATTACACCCGCGACAAGACTAGTAGCGTCAAAATATATTTAACTCTGCAATAACAAGATGTCTAAATAAAAAAATATATAATACTAGCTACTTCCGAGCGGTTTCACACGCTTTGCTCAGCTCCTATTGGTCGTAGCGTGATGTTTTATAGCCTATAGCCATCCTCGATAAATGTGCTATCCAACACAGAAAGAATTTTTCAAATCAGACCAGTAGTTTCGGAGATTAGCGCGTTCAAACAAACAAACAAGCAAAAAAACAAACTCTTCCGCTTTATATAATAAGTATAAGATGTAAGGATTTCATTGAAGACATGTCGATAAATAGAGTAAATCAGGAAGTGTTTACTACAGATAGGGAATAAGCGACCTTTAGCGCACATTCCTAACACCGGCCTTAGGCACGCCGATGCTTACATACTTAAGCTTAATCGCTAATCAAAATATTTATGATAATTTTCCTTCGATTGCATCCTTGAGTCGCAATTACTAAGCTGTTTTGGATTGAGGAGATTGGAGAAGGGAGGGGGATAGTTGGACCTCCGGTAACCTCACTCACACGACGAAACAAAACGCAAGCGTTGCTTCACGACGGTTTGTTACTATAATAATACTAGCGGACCCAACAGACGTTGTCCTGCATATCCACTTCAATGTATAAACAAAAATTCATTCAAATTAGTTCAGCCGTTTAGGATAAATAACCTAAACATCGACTGCAGCGCCATCTGCCGGGCTGATTTGTGAATCTGAACCATTCCCAGATTCCCTTGAACACACACAAAAAATTTCATCAAAATCGGTCCAGTTGTCTGAGAGCAGTTCAGTGACATACACACTCATAGAAGAATTATATATAAGCTGAAGAGTTTGTTTTTTTATTTGTTTGTTTGAACGCGCTAATCTCCAAAACTACTGGTCCGATTTGAAAAAATATTATTCTGTATTAGATAGCCCATTTATCGAGGAAGGCTATAAAATATCACGCTACGGTTAATAGGCGCCGAGCAGAGCGAGTGAAACCGCGCGGAAGTAGTTAGTAGTAAATAAGTACCCAGAGATTCAACCTAACGCTTCATATTTAGAGATAATTTAGGTATATTTTGTACAATGCGTCAAGCGTGTCTTTACATTGTTCTCACATATACGTACAGTATTATGGAATATGTATCAGAGACATTGTAGAACATATGTTTGTTTTTAAAGTAACGAATGGAGTTTCTTGCTCGTTCTTCTCCATTCGAATCTACCTACATTTTGGAATGAGCACCTAGCTTCACCTAGCTTCACTGATGGACTGACTGACAGACTATTTTATTTATTTTGTATTTGTTGACGTTTCAAAAGTACCAAATTATGGTTTAATTGAAATAAATGCTTTGACTTTGAATTTAGTCACAAAATCAGTTACCTACTATAATTTTATAATGACTGCCTCGTTGGCCGAGTAGTCGCAAGTGCAACTGCCGGCCAAGGGATCTCGGTTTCGATTCCCGGGTCGGGCAAAGTATTACTGGGTTTTTAAAAGAATCTCAGTAATAGCGCGGAGTCTGGAATTGTGCCCGGTATATGGCAATAGGCTCACCCCCTATTACATGGGACTAATATATGTATATAGTGAAAAGTGGGTGTTACATTGTACAGTGGCATAATGTACACCTCTGCCTACCCCTTCGGGGATAAAAGGCGTGATGTTATGTGTAATTTTATAATTTCATCAGTTGACGACACGAGGCGACGCGACGTGGTAATACAATTTGTATAGGTATTGATAACAGCATTATTATATACGTAAATATTTCAGTTTTCAGATTATAAGATTAACGTTCATATATAAGTTATAAGTATATATGAAAGTAGGTATGTAATTATATAATACATGAGGAAAAATGTCGCTTGATTGCTATCATAGACGTATATTATTGTCGCGGAGAACCTAACGGGTAACCGGGGCTCCGGCTCGACGTGCAGGAGAAGGAACGGGGTGGTTTTTAGTCAGTAAGAGTCTGATACTCCCTCCCGCCTCACCCAGGCGGGACCAGTCATTCGATGATTTCCCCCCCTTAAAACTACAAAACCACCCCGTTCCTACTCTTCCATTTCGAGACGGAGCCCCGGTAATCCGTTAGGTTCTCCGCGACTCCGTATCGGCATCAGCCCGGTTGGGCCCCATCCGTGGTGGTCTGATGGCTCTTTGAGATAAATAGAATGAAAAAATAATACTTAGATTGGAGTTAAGTTTAGGAGTGGGAGGTCGTTACGTTATGCTACCCTATAAAACCCTTGACACACGGTTAGCGCTGTAGTGGCTGGGCAACCGGCAGTCGCGAATGCGATTCCCGCACGGAGCAACACTTTGTGTGATCCACAATTTGTTGTTCCGGGTTTGGGTGTCATGTGTATGTGAACTTGTATGTTTGTAAACGCACACGCGACACAGGAGAAAATTGAAATGTAGGACAACGATTTAAAAAAAAAAAAAAGATAACCCACGTTATATTAACAGAAGAGCGGAGCACTAATTATGTGTCAATATTTAACCTAACCTGACCCGAGAATCGAATCCAGTATAAAGCTGTCTAACTGCTGACAACCTATTTCGTAAGTTTGTTATTAAGCTACTATATGTCATAGGTCATAGGTTGACTATAATCAGTGACTCGGAATATTATTGCATTCTAAGTACCTACACTTAGAATGCAAACAGTCACTGATGACTTAGGTAAATACCTACCTTTTGAACATGGACAACGTTTTGTTTATTTTTTTAAAAAGAAAGAAATGTAGTAAAGAAGAAATAGGTACGTGTGTAATGTTTTAAAATAATCTACCAGACGGATATCCTTATGCTTACTTCGTTACTTTACTTATATTATAAATGGGAAAGTGAGTTTGTTTGTTTGTTTGTTTGTTCCACTTTAACGCCGTAACTACTAGACCGATTGCTTTGAATTTTTGCAGATGTATAGTTAGAAGTCCGGATTAAATAATAGGGTACTTTTTATCCCGGAAAGATTTGATATTCCCGAGGGAAAACAAAAATATTTTTTTTTAAGGGGGGAAAATCATCGAATGACTGCTCCCGCCTGGGTGAGGCGGAAGGGAGTGTCAGACTCTTACTGACTAAAAACCACCCCGTTCCTTCTCCTGTACGTCGAGCCGGAACCCCGGTTACCCGTTAGGTTCTCCGCGACGAAATAATAAAATATAATGAAAAAATAAAAAATAATGGTATAGATGGCGCTGTGTGTATTGGTATATGTCACATTGGCTTTTTATCCTTTTGTGACGCGAGCGAAGCCGCGGGTAAAGCTAGTATAAAAATAAAATTTACGATACTATCCTATTCTTTGTTGCAGGCTATAACCATGGATGTGGAGAATGCAAACTGCAAGGTGAAGGTATCGCAGTGTGCTGACATGGAAGTGTTACCTATTGAGAAGCCGTTGAAGATTGACGTGTAAGTACATGGGTAGGCAGAGAGATATCTCTTTCATATCAAAACAAGTGTAAGTCTATCAACACAAATGATGTTGCAAAACCTTAAAGTAGATAGGTAGGTATTCTTTCTCACAGGTAGGTATTTAGGTAGGAACCTATACTTAAATATTTACCTAGGTTTTTCAGTATCTATGACCTGTATGTATGTGTATATAAATCTATACATATAAAATGAAACCAGTTTCCCGTTGTCACGCCATAACTTGAGAACGGCTAGACCGATTTGGCTGATTTGTTTTGTTGTGTTTGTTATCGTCAGGAGAAGGTTCTTATGACAGAAAAAAGTACTGAAAATCCTACGGGAGTGAGAAACGGGGTTGCGCGTACGAAGTCGCGGGCAGAAGCTTGAAAATAAATAAATATTCTTCCTTTCATTAAACAATCAGTTCACAATAAATAAAAGTCTGTATGTACCTACATTTGTGTGCGGTTATTTCGCAATTAGCTGAACTGATTTTGATTTTGGTTTTAGTATATTAATTAACCGACTTTAAAAAAGTGGTGTAAGGGCTCGTACACAAAACTGCATTGCGATTCAAATTCGCAACGCAGAAAAATTACGATGCGAATTGCTGCGACGCGATTTCGTGCGACAAGGCGTCTCCCAGGGTGACCATTCCTTCGACGACCGTCAACCGTACTAAACGTATTTTAAATTAAAAACTAGGTCGTGACATGGATCGTAAAAAGAAGTGTGCACTTCTGTTATTGCTTAGGAGATACAGGAAAAAGAAACAAAGAAGATTTTGGAAAATAAAAGTTGGTGTACGAGCCCTAAAGTCGACTTTTTAAATGTAGTTTATAAAGAATCCATCTTAGGTACGATTTCTCGATTAAATAAAACGAGCCTATAATTATTATTGTCAGTATTAACATTTCCTCAATCTCTTTGACTGTATTTTAGTGTTACGCAGTTCCACACAATCGCATCAACAAAACTATGTAACTAGAGAATCCTTACTAATATTATAAATCTGAAAGTGAGTTTGTTTGTTTGTTCCATCTTCACGCCGTAACTACTCAACCGATTGCTTTGAATTTTTGCAGACGTAAAGTTAGAAGTCCGGATTAAATAATAGGGTACTTTTTAACCCGGAAAAATTGATATTCCCGAGGAAAAACAAAAGTATTGGTATAGATGGCGCTTTGTGTATAGGTATAGTATGTCACATAGGCTACTTTTTATTCTTTTGTGACGCGAGCGAAGCCGCGGGTAAAAGCTAGTTGTATTATAAACCTGATTGAAAAAGAGTAACCTATGTAGTTTCTTGCTCGTTCTTCTCCATAGGAATCTACACCTTGGAATGAGCAACCGGTTCCACTTTAAAAAAAATTGTTGTAGTTTAAAAGTGCCTTCCAGGGTGCTTACTCTTGAATCCAATTCCGATCGATCGACATTGGTATTGTGAAATTTCGTACTCTTGAGTTGTAACACTAGCGCCCGTTGCATCCGTATTGCGTGGATATTGAATGAACTAAATGGTATTGAGTTTGGTTTTATATTCCGTACTCTGAATGCTATTTTAACAGCTACTATAGGGGTTGTATAGTTTTGACATTGAATAATTATTGAGATTTTATTGGATTGAAATTGCATTGACATTGAGATTGGTTTCGAGAGTAAGCACCCTGGTCTAGTTGAAATAAATGATTTTGACTTTATTTATTTATTTAGAAAACCAACAGCGATACATATGATATAATACAAAATAAAGATATTACAGTTTAGTAAGGCTAATAATAGGTTTCCCTGCTTAACTTAATTTGTATTTACCATGCGAACGGACTTTAAACAATATTTAAAAATAAAGTTTTAATGTAGAATTGAAAGTTAAATATACTACTTGTTAGATAATAATATTAATTTAATTAAAAGACTTTGAATTCATATTTTCATTTACTTAGATAATTAGGTATCTACTATTAGTTTCATTGTATTTAACTTCACGTAACAAAACAATTCTTAATCATAAAATATTTAAATACTAAAAATAAGCAACCTCAATTAAATTATCAAGTAAAAAGGTCACATTGATCCAATCAATTCACAATCGACACTTATCGATTACAATCGGTTACAATACAATCGATTTGGCGACCGATTAATCGATAACCTTTTTGTTACAGCGAAATTACTGGATTAGAGAAATTGATTGAAGAACTACACAGGGTGTTCTCGCATGACCACGTCAATGTACAGGATGTTCAGAAATTGATGGCTGGATATAAGTCTGATCCTAAAGATTGGAGCAAATTCGCTAAATTCGACCGTTTTAGGTAAGTTGTAAATTGTGATAATTGTTAAGATTTCTGATGGGGTAAACCAAATTGCTTAAATCTATTACGTGAAATATCAAAAAAAAACGAATGCTAAGGATTTTTACCCAACCCGGGAATCAAACCCAAGTTGCGAAATCAACTAACAAGGCGGTTAAACTACTATAAACTCTTGAAAAGACGTTTTATCCGGGTCAGGCATCGAACGTGAAACTCGACACTGCGTGCTATGTATAATTTACTAATATTGTGTATATGTTTGGTACTCAATTGTCTCAAAACTTGGCTGAGTGATCACAAGTGCGACTGCCTGGCAAAGGGTCTCGGGTTCAATTCCCGGGTCGGGCAAAGTATTACTGGGCTTTTTAACTAAAAAAATCTCATAAGTAGCACGGAGTCTGGAATTGTGCCCGGTATATGGCAATAGGCTCACCCCCTATTACATGGGACTCATAACATGAATAGTGAAAAGTGGGTGTTACATTGTACAGTGGCATTAAGTGCCGTAATGTGCACCTCTGCCTACCCCTTCGGGGATAAAAAGCTTGATTTTATGTATGTTTTAACAAACCGGCTAAAGGGATCGAGATGAAATTCGTAACAGGGGTAGCTTAAGGTCTAGATTAAACATATAGGCTACATTACATCCTTCAAGAATGCGGGCAAAGCCACTGGGAGAAGCTAGTATGTATTACTTTCATACATACGACCTCTCGACCAAAAGTCGTGGTGGCTCGGAGGTTTAAGACGCCTGCTTCTCATGCATGAGGGTGCGGATTTGAAACCTACCAACAGCAAGTACCAATGTAAACTTTTTCTGAGTTATATGTACTTTCTAAGATTATTTAGACACCACTGACAAACGGTGAAGGAAAAACATCGTGAGGAAACCTGGGCTTATAATTTCTAATTATAAGTTTGAAATCGCCAACCCGCATTGAGCAAGCGTGGTGATTAATGTTCTAACCTTCTCAGTGTGAGAAGAGGCTTTGCTCAGCAATGGGCATACTGGGCATTTATAGGCTGTTGATGATGATACGACCTCTCGACCATCAAGCCATTTTAATTGCATGATTCATGTTCTAGATATTTCGCCTCCGACTGATACCTTATCAGGCATACATACATACTACTTAATTTTCCGCTGTTTACAAAGAAAACAATATCACTAGGGGGCCTGTGTTATTCATTAAAATACGACAATAATATAACATCATAACATCACGGCTTTTATCCCCGAAGTGGTTTTCAGAGGTGCTCATTATGCCACTGTACAATGTAACACCCACTTTTCACTATTTATGTTATGAGTCCCATGTAATAGGGGGTGAGGCTATTGCCATATACCGTGCACAATAGGGTAGTTGCCAGGGAATGAAAATTAAAAATCTAATTAGTCCGTCAGGTAGATAATGAAAAAATATATGACACATACTTTTTTATTTTCTCGTATAAAGTTACAATACTTAGATAAATTGGAGTTAAGTTTGAGTGGGAGGTCGTTACGTCACAAAGTGGTACAAAATGTACCGCATTGTGACGTCACACGATATTTCAGATTATTATATCGTCGGAAGTATTTAATTTTGTGAGAAAAGAAAAAATACGTGTCTAATGTTTCAAAATAATCTACCAGACAGACATTAAAATAAAATTCAGGCAACTACCCTTATCCAGACTCCGTGCTACTATAAACAATTACTTTTAAACCAGGTAATATTTTACCCGACCTGGGCAGCTAACCCGAGAACCCTTGTCCGGCAATCGCACTTGTGACCACTCGGTCACCGAAGCAGTCAAGAAAATCCTTACTAATATTATAAATCGGAATGTGAGTTTGTTTGTTTGTTCCGCTTTCACGCCGTAACTACTAAACCGATTGCTTTGAATTTTTGCAGACGTAAAGTTAGAAGTCCGGATTAAATAATAGGATACTTTTATCCCGGAAAAAATGTGATATTCCCGAGTGAAAACAAAAGTATTAGTATAGATGGCGCTGTGTTTATTGTTATATGTTACTAGCTTTTACCCGCGGCTTCGCTCGCGTTACAAAAGGATAAAAAGTAGCCTATGTGACATATACCAATACATACAGCGCCATCTATACCAATACTTTTGTTTTCCCTCGGGAATATCAAATTTTTTCGAGATAAAAAGTACCCTATTATTTAATCCAGACTACTAACTTTACGTCTGCAAAAATTCAATGCAATCGGTTTAGTAGTTACGGCGTGAAGGTGGAACAAACAAACAAACAAACAAACTCACTTTCAGATTTATAATATTAGTAAGGATAAGGATTACGTCTCAGGCTACTTTTTTCCTTTTGTGACGCGAGCGAAGCCGCGGGTAAAAGCTAGTAATTATAATAAAGGTTAAAATAAGATAACATTCTTAGGTTAGCAACCAAATTGTTTGTACAGACGTTCTTATCATCTCGCCATTCAGGTGGAAAAACGGTCCGTTCAAGAATAAACAGTAAACAATAAAGATGAATTTATACACGACTTTTAATAAAAAAACATACATAACATCACGTCTTTTATCCCCGAATAGGTAGGCTATACCACTGTACAATGTAACACTCACTTTTCACTATTTATGTTATGAGTCCCATGTAATAGGGGGTGAGTCTATTGCCATATACCGGGCACAATTCTAGACTCCGTGCTACTACTGAGATTTTTTTATTTTAAACAATGCAATAATATAAACTACTTCTAAAGATAACAAAAAAAATAGTTAATTGTATGAGATAATATCGTCTAGCCGTTTCACCCGTCGCATCGTATGATATACTGTAGTCTATGTTTTTATAATAACGATCGTGAGACATACTAAATTAACTAAAAATTGCGGGTTACTCACTTGGTCGAAACCGGAATTGAACCCCCTACCCGCGCCGTTGGTGAACCTACCGTGCGCGTCAACATCGTCCAGCCGGCCGCCACCTGAATTCATGAGAAAGAACCCCTCTGTGGTTCGAAACTAGTAGAGCTACTACGACTTTTCAAAATGTCGTTAGCAGTTTGAAATCGTCAATTTCGACTGCACGGTTGGTGCGGTGGCTGGGCAACCGGCTGCCGTGCAACGTGTCGCGGGTTCGATTCCCGCACGGAACAACACTTTGTGTGATCCACAAATTGTTGTTCCGGGTCTGGGTGTCATTGTGTATGTGAACTTGTATGTTTGTAAACGCTCCCATGACACAAGAGAAACTGCTAAAGTGGGGCAAGGTTTTAAAAAAAAAAATTCGCCTTGAGCAAGCGTTGTGATCAATGCTCAAACCTTCACCATATCAAAAGAGGCCTTTGCTCAGCAGTGGGCACTTATAGGCTAATGATGATGATGTCATTAACAGACCTCCTATCTCCAATACAGATACACAAGAAACCTGGTGGACGCTGGTAACGGAGCCTTCAACATCATGATCCTGTGCTGGGGACCTGGACACGCATCAGCTATCCACGACCACGCTGACTCTCATTGTTTTATGAAGCTCCTTAGTGGGAGTTTGGATGAAGTTAGGTAAGAAAACAAACAAACATACAAACATAACATCACGCCTTTTATCCCCAAAAGGGTAGGCAGAGGTGCACATTATGCTACTGTACAATGTGACACCCACTTTTAATTCTTTATGTTATGAGTCCCATGTAAGGTGTGAGCCTATTGCCATATACCGGGCACAACTCCAGACTGCGTGCTACTACAGAGATTTTTTTAAAACCCAGTATTACTTTGCCCGACCCGGGAATCGAATCCGAGACCCTTGCACTTGCGACCACTCGGCCAACGAGGCAATAATATTATACTATTATCTAAAGTAACTATTAATGTTTTAATAGTTACTACATACATATACACATAATATATCTCATTTGGGGGTAAGCCTATTACCACAGTCTATACAGTCGTCCAAGGAAGACGTCTAGACAGGGCAATCGTTCGGAGTGTAAGGGGCGAGACGCTGGTAGGCCGATCCCGAGCTGCGGACAAAACGATGTTAGTAGCTCGGGATATATTATTCTAACGCGTGAAAAAACGCATAAAAACTGAAAACAAATGAAAAGTAAAAACTGAAAACCAAAAAAATAACTATATTAGTACTGATGAGTTACTCACCCACTGACCGACTTCTGGTCGGTGCCATAAGCTCATATTTTTGATAACCCTGGCCGATGCGTTACTGTCTTGACCAGGGAAGGCGAACCTTTACACATTAGCGTGCCAATTACTTTAATTACAGAAAAAAAGTATTTTACGGTTTTATGTGTGCCATCGACTGATATTTACTGTCAATCTGTAGCAATAATGTATACAGTTGGCCTGGTAAGCTGTCACCGCATTCTGAGCACACCAGAAATATTTGAGACACCACAAATGCGTTGTAGGTTTCTGATCATTCATCAGTTTTGTAGTCACTGTCGTGCCCAAAATGTTGTGTTCCGTGCCATCAACGGCACTCGTGCCAATGGTTTGCCATCCCTGGTCTAGACGATGTCGGCATTTTACAAGAGATCAAAGGCGTCGTCCTACTATATGATTTTAATACTATGCTATTACCTTAAACTAGACTTAGTTCGAGACTCCATGCAAAAACACAGCAAAATTCGCAATGAAACTTCGTCCGACTGCGCCGCAGGAATAGAACTAGATACATCTTGCTTAGCACCCACACTTACGACCACTCAACCAACGAGATAGTCATATCCACTCAACCTTTAAACTTAGACATTAAAACCAATGTAATTTATCAATAAACATCCATTAAACAAACTATGAAAAGAGATTATCAGACTTAAAAATCTTATGCGTCAATTGAATGGCATATTTACTTTACCTACGTCAAATTCTTTTAAGTTTACAATCAGTTCGGACGTCATTTATAAAAAATAATATGTTACTGTTATTTATCTTTTAATTTAAAAGTTATCAATGTATTTAAGAGTTTAAACTAATCTTACATGAACGTCAATACTTCCAACGAGGTCGCGGAGAACCTGACGGGTAACCGGGGCTCCGGCTCGACGTGCAGGAGAAGGAATGGGGTGGTTTTTAGTCAGTAAGAGTCTGACACTCCCTCCAGCCTCACTCAGGCGAGAGCAGTCATTCGATGATTTCCCCCCCTTAAAAAAAATACTTCCCACGAGTATTGCTGGTAGAGAGTAATTGCCGGTCTATTGAGGACTGGGGATTTCGGAATTGGGGAGGGGAAGAGATGGGCTTCCGATAAGCAGTTCTATAATTTTTTATTTAAAAAATTGCCCCACCTTACGATTTTCTCCTATGTCGCGTGTGTGTTTACAAACATACAAGTTCACATACACATGACACCCAGACCCAGAACAACAATCTGTGGATCACACAAAGAATTGTTCCGTGCGGGAATCGAACACGCTAGACGGTGCGCGGACGCCAGTTGCCCAACTACCGCGCCAACCGTGCAGTCTGTATAAATATTCATTGTTAGCTTATGTCTAGCACCTGACGCAAAAGCACTTGCCTTGGAGCTTATATTTTTAATTGTGAAAATGCGTCACAGATTATTATTATTAGAATACCAACTAGATAAACAGAATATAGTTTTCAAAACAAGTGGTTCATTCGTCACTTATTATCGCAAACAGGATGACGAAACTACAATAATATTTACTGGGATCCTTATCTTAATATCATTTCTCGTCGCGGAGAACCTAACGGGTTACCGGGGCTCCGGCTCGACGTGCAGGAGAAGGAACGGGGTGGTTTTTAGTCAGTAAGAATCTGACACTGCCTCCCGCCTCACCCAGGCGGGAGCAGTCATTCGATGATTTTCCCCCCTTAAAAAAAATTTCTCGGTTTTCGTTGCAATATGGGGTAAGCAGAGGTTTGTCTATAACGTTATTCTCCACTGCTAGATTATGGGCTTCCACTATACAGGTAAAAAGGGTAATTTTTAAGTACTGCCTCGTTGGCCGAGGGGTCGCAAGTGCGACTGCCGGGCAATGGGTCTCGGGTTCGATTCCCGGGTCGGGCAAAGTATTATAGGTTTTTTTTAAAATCTCCCTAGTAGCACGGAGTCTGCTGCGCCCGGTATATGGCAATAGGCTCACCCCCTATTACATGGGACTCATAACATAAATAGTGAAAAGTGGGTGTTACATTGTACAGTGGTATTAAGTGTCGTAATGCCTAATTAGGCTATCAGGGCGATTCCCCACAATCCCAAAAGGCCGGTAACGCACTTGTAACGCCTCTGGTGTCCATGGGCGGCGCCAATTGCTTACCATCAGGTGATACGTCTGCTCGTTTACCGGCTTATGCTATAAAAAATAATAATAATTGCTAATACTCTTTAACCTATTGACATTATTGGACGAGTATTTTCTAGAATCTACATCATAAATGATGACTGTCAGGACAGTCGATGATAAATGACAATAAACAATCATATCACTTATGTATGTATATCCAGAGTAACATTGAGATAACAATCTGACTGGTTCGCGAGAGTTCTGCCATTTTCTAATCGACTTCTTATGCTTCGGCACGAATGGGCCGGCTCGACCGGAGTGATAGCACGGCCTCACAGAAAACCGACGTGAAGCAACGCTTGCGTTGTATTTCGTCGTGTGAGGGAGGTTACCGGAGGCCCAATTACCCTCCCCTTCCCCAATCCCCCCAATTCCTGAATCCCTAACGATCCCCCAAAAGGCCGGTAACGCACTTGTAACGCCTCTGATGTTCCAGGTGTCCATGGGCGACGCCGATTGCTTACCATCAGGTGATCCGTCTGCTCGTTTACTGGCTAATGCCATCGAATGACTGCTCCCGCCTCACTCAGGCGGGAGCAGTCATTCGATGATTTTCCACCCTTAAAAAAATCTCATGTTATATTATTACTCTATTAATTGGTTATCAAAACGTCATATCGTATATCTGACGTAATTTGGAATTGGGACGCCACCCGACCTCTGATGTTGATGTGTCTTTATCAACAATTAACGCCTGACCAAATATTGTTTTAAAAGTAGTTTTTTCTGGATTTTTAATGTTTGTTTTATCTTATTCATTAATGAGGTCGATAATGTTACTAACCGCAGTGGAATAGTGGTTTTTCAACGCCACTATTCTTCCCCGTCGGTGTCGTAAGTCAGCTAAGGGACTAATGCCAGTTTTTTAATGGGATAAGCCGGTAAAAAGCAGACGTATCACCTGACAATCGGCCTTCGTCCTGGGCTTCGCCCAGTTGTACAATCTCTTTTTTTGTGCCTTCAGGCTTAATTCATTCTATCACCTGCAGTAATCCACCGAGGGAAGTGGAAACTATCATTTTTTTCTTCTCCTCTTATAATATCCTTCACTTCGTTGCGGGAACCAAGACAGTTACTAATGTCGCTGGGACTCGCCGGACTTCAGTGTTTCGGTGTTTTCATGGTTGTATCTACTGTAGATCCTGGCTTACAGGAGTTGCAGTGGTTTTGGAAGGATATGGCGGGCTTGACACAAAAAAAATTGGTGCGTCCACAACAATCGATCCACGGCAATCCTTAAATTCCTAATCGCCAAAACGTAATGTACTTGTAATGACATTAACATTAAGTTATAAAATCCAGTTTAAACTGCATAAATAACTATCGCAGTTAGGTTGAATGCGTTCATTGTGCCCAGCTACCGATAACTGCGACCGTCGGTAACCTTAACACGAAGAGATCAATCATTAATATCCTTCATTGAGAATGTGTTGCAGTATTCGATAGGTATAAAATTATTCACTCGAGTTATAATTGTTTCGTTGGTCCAAAGGGCAGTAGACAGTTTATAAAGTCGCGGTGAACCTAACGGGTAACCGGGGCTCCGGCTCGACGTGCAGGAGAAGGAACGGGGTGGTTTTTAGTCAGTAAGAGTCTCACACTCCCTCCCGCCTCACCCAGGTGGGAGTAGTCATTCGATGATTTTTCCCCCCTTAAAAAAAAGACAGTTCATAAAAATTAAAAATATAATTAGTCCGTCAGTTAGATAATGAAAATATATTTAACACACAATTTTTTACACGATTTTAGTATTTTTCACGCAAATAAAAAAATAAGTACGCTGTTTGACGCTAAAAAAACGTGACGTCACAATTCATAATCATAACGTACAAAATTCATAGAAAACTGTTCTATTTGACAGTTCAAAAAAAGTATTATAGACTGGTTGTCAAATACCGTATTATACAATGTCATAATTATACTACCCCAATCGTAGCTATTAAAATAGCATTCAGAGTACGGAAAACCAAACTCAATACCATTTAGTTCATTCAATATCCACCCAATACAATCGGATTCCAAAGTAAACCGCATAGTCGGAATAAGTCAAATTAGTACCTACTAGCCGGGTTGTAATCTATTTTTTTTAGACGTTGCCCCACATTAGGATTTTCTCCTGTGTCGTGGGTGCGTTTACAAACATACAAGTTCACATACACATGACACACAGACCCGAAACAACAATTTGTGGATCACACAAAGAGTTGTTCCGTGCGGGAATCAAACCCGCGACACGTTGTTCGGTAGCCAGTTGCCCAGCCACCGCGCTTACCGTGCAGGCAATTTGTTGTTACTAAGATAGAACAATAAACTTCTATCCGCATATTGACATTCAGCATAACAAATAGGTACTTATCTTTTACAAAATTAAGGGCGACATTCTTTGCAATATTTGTGTGCAAACAGTTATGACGTCAATTGGGTACTTTCCGTTGTCAAAAATAACTTCTATCGACTATTCAATACAATAGAATATTAAATAAATCCAGTAATACTTTGCCCGACCCGGGAATCGAACCCGAATCCCCTTGCCCGGGTGCCGCACTTGCGACCACTTGGCTAATGAGACAGTCCTCTTGTTCCATGGTGCCTTTCCATGGTATCCTTTACATGGAATACCAAGCACCTCTCTACCTACTCCTTAGATTAAAAAAAACGAGATGTTATGTTATAAATTACATAACATAACATCACGCCTTTTATCCCCGAAGCGGTAGGCAGAGGCGCACATTATGCCCCCCTTAAAAAAAAAAAAAAATGCCACTGTACAATGTAACACCCACTTTTTACGATTTATGTTATCGAGTCCCATGTAATAGAGCGTGATCCTATTGCCATATACCGGGCACAATTCCAGACTACTGAGAATTAAAAACCTAGTAATACTTTGCTTTTACGGCGGCACATTACGGCACTTAATGCCACTGTATAATGTTACACCCACTTTTCACTATTCATGTTAAGAGTCCCATATAATAGGGGGTGAGCCTATTGCCATCTATCGGGCATGATTTCAGACTCCGTGCTACTACTGAGTTTTTTTTTAATCTCAGTTATACTTTCCCCGACCCGGGAATCGAACCCGAGACTCCTTTCCCGGCAGTCGCTCTTGCGACCACTCGGCCAACAAGGCAGTACTTAAAGATTACCCTTTTTACCTGTATAGTGGAAGCCCATATTCCAACAGAGTACAGTAACGTTATAGACAAACCTCTGCCTACCCCAAATTACAACGAAAACCGAGAAATGATATTAAGATAAGGATCCCAGTAAATTACCTACGCTGTGTATAATAAAAAATCCTTTGTTATGATGAACCAAAGCCAGTTCATTCACACCAATCAATCAATAAAAAAAAAATCGAAACAAAAACTAATTATCATCATTATTAACAATTTACAGATACGAATGGCCTGAAAACATACAGCCGGAAGTTATGAAGGTTTTAAACAGCAATAAACCACGGAGAAAATGTTGTTCAGAGAGCCAAGACCTACCTGACAGTGTATCGGAACTGAAGATCAATGACAGCTGTCACATTGACAGCTGTCAGAACAAGGGTGACAGATGTCAAGAGGAGGGTGACAGGTGTCAAACGAAGAGTGAAAGCTATCAAGAAAGGAGGGAGGATTATGGTAGTGATGATGATGAAGGATATGACGCTGAGGATATGAAGGTCAGAGGAAGGTCGAGAATGGAGATCAATGATGTTTGTTATATTAATGGTAAGTTTAATATTTAAATTTTTATTTCTTATGGCGGGTGGGTAATAGAGTAGATGACTAATTTTTATTTTAATGTCCGTCTGATAGATTGTTTTAAAACATTAGACACCTAATTTTTATTTTTTTACAGAAACGAATACTTTCGACGATATATTGATTTGAAATGTCACGTGACGTCACTTCTATGTACATTTTATACGTAGAAATGACGTTTTAGCTCCCACTCCTAAATTTTGATTCTTTTTATCTAAGTATTGTTTTATTATACGACAAAATAAAAAAATACGTGTCTAATATTTTTTCATTGCCTAACTGATGGACTAATTAGATTTTTAATTTTCATATTCTATCATCTTCCCTATTGGTGAGTTAAATCCCGGTTTAATTCCCGGCTAGCTTACAAAATTAGTATTTCTACCGTAACGATATTTTTAGCTTTTTGTATTTATACTAATTACAATTTAGGTACACAAGAATCGTGGCAATTGACGTTCCATAGTTTCTGCCTACCCCCAGGTTATTTATGTTTGTAATAATACTACTGCTCATATTCCGTTATAGTTTTTGCTCAGTATAAAACTGCAGGCGTTAACAGTTTAGAATCTGCTACGCAATTTGGAAACAATTCTGTATGGGATCTATAAATATTAAGTGTGACTGCCTCGATGGCCGCGTGGTCGCAAGTGCGACTACCGGGCAATGGGTCTCGGGTTCGATTCCCGGGTCGGGCAAAGTACTACTGGGTATTTTTTAAATTCTCAGTAGTAGCACGGAATCTGGAATTGTGCCCGGTATATGGCAATAGGCTCACCTCCTATTACATGGTACTCATAACATAAATAGTGAAAAGTGGGTCTTACTTTTGTGTGCACCTCTGCCGGGTAGGCAAAGCAAAGGCTTCGGGGAGTAAAGGCGTGATATTATGTTATGTTAATTGTTGTTCTGTGTCTACCTGTGAAGTATAAGAGTTTGTATGATTGTCATCTACGAGATAGGAGAAAATATTAGAATTATAAAACGTATTTTGAAATATTTTTTGTACCATATTTCAATCCATTGTTAATTTTTTTTAAACGTTGGCCCACATTACGATTGTCTCCTGTGTCGTGTGTGCGTTTACAAACACACAAGTTCACATACACATGACACCCAGACTCGGAACAACAACCTGTGGATGACACAAAGAGTTGTTCCGTGCGGGAATCGAAGCCGCGACACGTTGCACGGCAGCCGGTTGCCCAGCCACCGCACCAACCGTGCAGTCGTGCCCTGCAGTGGGACGACCATAGCTAAAAATAAAAATAAATTAATAAATAAGTTTTTTTAATTTCTAACCACGAGGGCTCGAATAATCAAATCTTTAGGCTGACTTTCGAGTTAGATTTGTGTATGATATGTACGTTAAATGAATCGAACCCGCGACACGTTGCACAGCAGCCGGTAGCCCAACCACCGCGCCAACCGTGCAGTCAGTGTTAATGTAGACGATATTCCAAAAACTTAATTACTATTTTTATCCTTTCCAGATGCCCTAGGTCTCCATAGAGTTGAAAACCCGTCCCACGTCGATGGAGCTGTGTCGTTACATCTCTACTGTCCTCCTTTTGACAGCTGTCGTGTGTTCGACGCTAGGACCGGCAAACCAACTCAAGTTAAAGTCACCTTCTGGTCCATGTACGGCAAGAAGATTAAGAGAGTAAGTGTTATCTCACTATTTCATCATCAGAATCAACAACATCCTATAAATGCCCACTGTTAAGTGTTGACCAAAGGCCTCTTCTCACACGGAGAAGGTTTGAGCATTAATCACCACGCTTGTTCAATGCGGGTTGGTGATTTCCACAGATATAATAAAGAAGGAGATATGGTGTGGAGTCAAAAATATATGCAAAACCGGTGAAGCCACAACTGCCCCTCCATAAACCTAATATTACACACACAGCTCTGACAAAACAATACTACGAATAAATGCACATACGGGGCATCGATAACTCAGTAATTCAAATATAAGCCTTATTCTTTAAACGACAGCGCACATTCTCCTATGATTTACTCACACTAAAACAATTTGTCTCTGTGTGTTAGGTGCGTCGCCGTAGTGACTTATACTACTATGTTATATTATTGACTGTAATACTTTGCCCGACCCGGAAATCGAACCCGAGACCCCTTGTCCAGCAGTCGCAATTGCGGCCAACGAGGCAGTCATATGTAATATATGTATATTTATAATTATGTAAATGTACTTATATTATATTATTTTTCTATATTTACAGGTGATAGAAGCCAATGACGCAGCTGACAGCCAGTGAGATTAGATCGAAGGTCAAAAAACAAAAACATTCCAGTCAATAATTGTGTCAAAAAATAAAAATTCATATTTTAAAAGTTGTTGATTAATTTTAAAAATAATTAGTAATATTAAGTTAATGAAATGTAATATTAATTATTATTATTATCATCTAAATCGTTTGTAAATAAATTGTAAAATTTATTATTATAACAATTTGTACGTAATTATTAAAACAATATTTAATTATTTTAGTGTATTGTTAGGTATTTTTTAATTATTTTAGTTAAAAGCAATGTCCAAAGTGATTAATATTTTTTCTTTATTAAACTAATGTTTGTTATTTTATTGACGTTATTTTAATCTTGTAATTACAATATAAGCCATCGGTTTAGGTTATATTTACTAAATAGGTACTGCTGACTCGACTGGATCATAGCCGGTCGCGGTTGTTTTGTTTAATGTCACACCTACGTTTTATAAAATCAGAATTTATATTTTGATTTTGAACAGATTGACTAAACTTAATAATTCAATAATTTAATTTGATTTGGTTATCCAGTTTGTGCATTCCTAGTTATATAAATCACACAGCTACGATTTATACGATTATTTTTGTAGGTTTTATTGGCTTATTCGATAGCTGATGAAGTACTTCGTGATCAATACGCTAGATGGCAGTGTTACAAAAAATGACGAATGAATACAATCATCGTCTTTTTCTTGTACGCACTGTCGAAATGTGTTGTGTGTCTTGTGTAAGTATGATTGTACGATATAGGGGTAATCATACAACAATGTTTTATTAAAAGCAGTTCTACCTAAACCCAACCTGGGTGCTTACTCTTGAAACCAATCTCAATGTCAATGCAATTTCAATCCAATAAAATCTCAATAATTGTTCAATATCAACACTATACAACCACAATCGTAGCTGTTGAAATAGCATTCAGAGTACAGAATATAAAGCCAAACTCAATACCATTTAGTTTATTCAACATCTACGCAATACGGGTGTAATGAGCGCTAGTGTTGCATCTCAAGAGTATGAAATTTCACAATACCAATGTCGATCGATCAGAATTGGATTCAAGAGTAAGTACCCTGGTATTTCATTAAAGCTACTGTTCAAATTACTTAACTATTTTCAATACAGTGTTCAAACAAAGTTGTGTCTAGATTGTTTACTTTTAGTTAACTACCTAAGCCGATAGTTTTGATTTTATCATTGCCCATTATAGAAATAATAATAGGTAATATTTGTATCAAGATATGAATAAATGGCGGATGTATATATCTTTAAATAACGACTGTGGCACCAGCAGCTGTAACCAAATGCCATTTAGCGCTTGTCTACATGTAGAATAGAAAACCAAATTATGTATATGGAATTGACGTAAATTTTGACACTTGTCAGTGTTATCCCCATACATTTACATCCCCATCCCCGACGTGAAGCAATGCTTGCGTTGTGTTTCGTCGTGTGAGTGAGGTTATCGGAGGCTTAATTACCCTCCCCTTCCCCAATCTCCCCAATCCCTGAATCCCCAACGATCCGCAAACTCCTAATCACCAAAAGGTCGGTAACGCACTTGTAACGCTTCTGGTGTTCTAGGTGTCCATGGGCAACGCCGATTGCTTACCATCAGGTGATCCGTCTGATCGTTTACCGGCTCAGGCCATAAAAAAAATTAGTTTTCTACTCTTTCGGTAGACAAGTGCTAAAGTGGCGTTTGGCTACAGGCACTGGTTACTATAGACTTACACGCAGAACACACACACATTGACACGAAGGACATCTGTCGCGTAGCCCGTCATTACTCTTCATAGATTACGGTGTTGCAAGTACACGCACACATAAATACGCCACTGACACTTTGGTGCTTTATTTATTTGTAACAAACATTACGTTCGCCATTTTCTCAACGTCTTTGATTTGTATAAATGACTAGCTACTTCCGCGCGGTTTCACTCGCTCTGCTCGGCGCCTATTAATCGTAGCGTGATATTTTATAGCCCATAGCCTTCCTCGATAAATGAGCTATCCAACACAAAAAGATTTTTTCAAATCGGACTAGTAGTTTCGGAGATTAGCGCGTTCAAACAAACAAACAAAAAACAAACTGTTCAGCTTTATAATATTAGTTTAGATTTTAGTCTTTCATTAAATACTTCTTGTTTGTTAAAGTAATGTAAGAACTGATATTGAGGGAAGTATTATTGTGTTATTTGACGTCAAAAATATTTTTATACCAGTGTATTTTGATGTAGTTTAATATTGATATCATTTCGGGCCTTTTTCACAATATCTGGATAGCCGTTATATACCAGATGAATTTAAATTAAAAACGTAATTTGTATGAACTATCTGTCACATAAGTATGTTAGGTACTTATATGGAAGTAGTGAAACCGGCGCTTAATATGTTTGATTTTAACTCAAACGAAAAACTTTGTCATTCAAAAATGAAACTTATGTACAACGAGTTAGGGAGCCCTAATGAAAAGCAAATGTATATTAAAAATAATTTAATTTAATTGTGCCTTATTTAATTTTAGACTAGGATAAACTTAACATAAGACATTACGCTAAAAACGAGTGAAATTGTCAATTTTATATATTTAATTTACAAAATTTATGATTCATTTACAAAATAAAATATTATTTTATGAAATAAATACGTTTTATTTACATTCCTTTTTCTAAATTAATTTTATGTTAACAATATTTTTTTTGGTTTCCTGATCACAATCATGAATATATGATTCATAAACTACTTGTAAGTAAAATAAATTTACATTTACCTCAAATTTCTTCTTGCAACATTGATTAAACAATTTTAAAGAGAAATTTAAGATTAATTTATAAATATTTAACATTCATGAATTTAAACAGGAACAGATTTAAACAATTTTAATATAACAATGACAATTTCAATCGAAGAGAATCTATTTTAAGTGGAATAAATATTTGTAACGCATAATTTACAATATGCATTTTTTATGTTACAATCTATTTACAAGTAGTGAATCGTTTACAATTCGTCCATGGTTAAAAGACGTTTCATTTCGCTGCTAAGTTTGTTCCAAGGAAGGAAGACTTTGACTCCATCGTAGTGTTCAGTGAGTTCTATATTTCTCCTCTCACAACCTGAATTGCAATGGAAGTCACAGGTCAATGTAACTGGGTTGAAATGAAGACCTTCAGAGCAGGTCACTTGGACCTTCTGGTCGCCTACACAGATCCAATACTTGTCGCAGTCGTCTGAGGCCCAAGGGGCAACATTGCACTCGTTTATGCATGGGTTATTGTCGCCAGGTAGATCACCACCGGGGTTTTCACCTCCATCTCCTGGACAGCTACCATCGCAGCCGGGTTGGTTGCCTCCATCTCCTGGCTGGTCGCCTCCATCTCCTGGTTGGTCGCCTCCATCTCCTGGCTGGTCACCTCCATCTCCTGGCTGGTCGCCTCCATCTCCTGGTTGGTCTCCTCCATCACCTGGTTGGTCGCCTCCATCTCCTGGCTGGTCGCCTCCATCGCCTGGACAGCTACCACCGCAACCTGGTTGGTCGCCTCCATCGCCTGGCTGGTCACCTCCATCACCTGGCTGGTCGCCTCCATCACCTGGCTGGTCGCCTCCATCTCCTGGGCAGTTATTGTCACCGGGGCAATTGGAGGACTGCTCACATCCAGCGTTGTGGGGCCAGTCGCAGACCTAGAAGTAGAAAATTAGGATTAAGTAACGTTTCCAAAAGTGTGTTTGGGAAGGGATAATATTGTTAGTTTCTCATGCAACCACTTAAGTGCCTAGGTCAAATGAAATGTTAAGATTGCTGCGCCTGTCAAATTCTTGTAAGTTTTTGACAAAACAATAAGTGAAACAAGTGAATTTATTTCTGCAAATAGGCTACCATGCTGTACTTTTACACATCAATTTTTTCAAGCGAACGATGAGGTCGACATTTCCTAACTGACTACTCTGAGAAGAAATGCTGAAACAAATTCAAAAGTCAATCTCTTTTAAAGTCCAGACAAATGTGTATAAAAGATTATTTGTGAGAACCGTGCAAGTTCTTTCTGTAGTGGCCTTTTGAGGAAAGAACCACAACAGTTTGAGCGGACCCGTTTTGAAGGCAGTACGCATGTGTCGGTTTACAATCAGCTTAATTAACAGATGAGGCTGACTGATTCGACGAACAATACCAACCTTAAGAACATTTAAATGTTAAAACATGATTATTTAAATTCATAACTCCAAGTAGCAAAGCCTAGAAATATTTAAAATGGGGCTTGGTCTTACAAAAAGACTAATAACTGGCAAACTGTATGTTTTGGTTGCTATGAAAGTTAAATTTAAAATTTTATAATATTTTATCTATTTACCTGAAGAACAGGGTTGAAATGAGTTCCAGGTCCACAGCTGGTCTCTACTTTCTGTCCATGGACGCAGTAGTAGAACTTGCTGCAGTCGCTCTCATGGGGCAAGAGATGATGGATGTCAAAGTCCGCTGGACATCCATTGGGGAGAGGTATGAAGTCATTGTCGTTGCCACCTGGCTGGTCGCCTCCATCTCCTGGTTGGTCGCCTCCATCTCCTGGTTGATCGCCTCCATCTCCTGGACAGGTACCACCGCAACCGGGCTGGTCGCCTCCATCTCCTGGTTGGTCGCCACCTTCTCCTGGGCAGTTATTGCCACCGGGGCAATTGGAGGACTGTTCACATCCAGCGTATTGGGGCCAATCGCAGACCTAGAATAAAAAAAAAACAATTTAGTCACGTATGTAGATTATGTCCTAAAGAATCAGATATGAACAAGTACAACTCTTAAGAATTTTTGTTTCGCAATGGGCCAGACAATCTTCCCACTATCGCATATCCAATTATGAACGAGCTTGCCATGAATACATCTCGGTTAAGTCAGAATTACTGGCATTGTTTGCTCTAAAAACCAACGCTAACTAACTATAGTGATTAGTTTGTATTACAGGAGCATTTTACATTATGCATTATAGTAATTTGTCAAATGTATTTACCTGAAGAACGGGGTTGAAATGAGTTCCAGGTGCACAGCTGGTCTCTACTTTCTGTCCATGGACGCAGTAGTAGAACTTGCCACAGTCGCTCTCATGGGGCAGGAGATGATGGATGTCAAAGTCAGCTGGGCATCCATTGGGGAGAGGTACAAAGTCATTGTCGTTGCAATCTCCTGGCTGGTCGTCTCCATCTCCTGGTTGATCGCCTCCATCTCCTGGCTGGTCGCCTCCATCTCCTGGCTGGTCGCCTCCATCGCCTGGACAGTTACCACTGCAACCGGGTTGGTCGCCTCCATCTCCTGGCTGGTCGCCTCCATCTCCTGGTTGATCGCCTCCATCTCCTGGACAGCTACCACCGCAACCGGGCTGGTCGCCTCCATCTCCTGGCTGGTCGCCTCCATCTCCTGGTTGGTCGCCACCTTCTCCTGGGCAGTTATTGCCACCGGGGCAATTGGAGGACTGTTCACATCCAGCGTTTTGTGGCCAATCGCAGACCTGTAATTAACAGAATCGATTAAGTTTGTGTACAAATATGTCCACACGTGACTGTGATAGCAACTCAAAAAATGATTGTAAAAAGTTATCATGATCAAAATAAATGGAATTTTGATTGTTTTAAGATTTTAGCAATACATAAAAATTAAATAGTAGTATCAAATCGATCAATGACTTATTTCAAAGTGAATGTACTATCAGTCGGCGTTTTGGACAGGAAGGGAAAATCATAGATAGTGATCTCTGTAGTAAATTGACTGGCTAAGATATTATCACACTAATTAATACGAAAATAATATTATTTTACCATGTTATTGTTATCAAAATTTTTGATTATAAAATAGATAATGCCATTTTCTAAATCGTTTAAATAATGCGCTTGATTTTTTTAATGGTTTAGTTTTTGTTTAGCATTGCAATAGTTATGAGGTTTTTAGATTATTTTCTTATAGTTTCGTGTTAAGTTATGTATAAGGAATTATTCCAAGATCACAAAGTTTATTTTTAGAGTGAATTATTATCAGGAGAAGAATTCTGAATGGAGTTTTGTTTACAACAGGTTTGTGGTTTATATTTTTGTAATAGGTTAACATGTTCAAGTATAATTTTGTTATTAAAATCAGGCAGGGGGTCTCGGGTTCGATTCCCGAGTCGGGCAAAGTATTACTGGGTTTTTAAAAAAATATCTCAGTAGTATCACGGAGTCTGGAATTGTATATGGCAATAGGCTCATCCCCTATTTCATGGGACTCATAACATAAATAGTGAAAAGTGGTTGTTACATTGTACATTGGCATAATGTGCACCTCTGCCTACCCCTTCGGGGATAAAAGGCGTGATGTTATATTTTGTGTTATGTAAAATCATTAGAGATATTATAAAATTATTAGGAATCCTATAAAATGTAACATGTAGTGTTGACTGTTTTATTTTTAAATGTATTATGTTTGTAGTTTTCCAAATTGAGGAAGGAATTTTTGAGTTATTGCACTTTGATATTCAAGATGTCGATATACTTAATTTATTTAATTAATCTTACCTGAAGAACAGGGTTGAAATGAGTTCCAGGTCCACAGCTGGTCTCTACTTTCTGTCCATGGACGCAGTAGTAGAACTTGCCGCAGTCGCTCTCATGGGGCAGGAGATGATGGATGTCAAAGTCCGCGGGACATCCATTGGGGAGAGGTACAAAGTCATTGTCGTTGCCACCATCCGGTGGACAGTTGCCATTGCAGCCGGGATTTGGGTCATTGATCTCTATGCTTTCTGAGCTGGAACCTTCTCCGCTTCCAGGGTTGATGTCACCACCACCAGGTACACAGTTCACATTATGTGGCCAATCACACACCTGTGGATAATACAAATTGTTAGTAAATCTTGTGTAATATTCATTTAGTTTACATTACATTTTGATTACAAACAAGAATTAATTTAAAAAATGTTTACAAAATTAAATAAATTAATTTAAAAATAGAATATAAATATACTGCACGGTTGGCGCTGTGGCTGGGCACCTGACTGCCGCGCAACGTGTCGCGGGTTCGATTCCCGCACGGAACAACTCTTTGTGTGATCCACAGATTGTTGTTCCGGGTCTGTGTGTCATGTGTATGTGAACTTGTATGTTTGTAAATGCACCTACGACACAGGAGATAATCCTAGTGTGGGGCAACGCTTTTTTTTTAAATTGATTGTTACAAAAAATATGTATGTAATATTAAAATAATAATGATAATAGAACGATGATGATTAGCTTACATGATGTACCGAAATAAAGTAAAAATAATGGGTGTTTATTTATTTCTCCTAAACCCTAATAATAGGTAACCCTTATAATAGAGTACTTTCCTTAATCAAAAATAAAATATTTCTACTGTTCAATACAATAAAATATTAAAGAATAATCACACTTTCATTAATTGATTTTATGATCAACTTAATTTTAATATTTTTACTGTAAATTTTTAAGAAATAAGTACCTATGCTGTTTGACGCAAAAAAACGTGACGTCACAATACACAATCTCGTACAAAATTCATAGAATACTGTCGTTTTTGTCAGTTTGAAAAAAGTATTGAATATGACTAGTTGGCAAGTACCCAATTATTATTGCAACATACTATAGGGAATGACGACTGCTATTATCAGTCTATCCAAAAAGTTTTAGTATATAATTGCGCCTGTTTTTGACAAAGATGAATCTGAGCTATCTTTTTCCATCCAGCAGCTGTAGCCAAATCCATTTAGCGCTTGTCTACATGTAGAATAGAAAACCAAATTATATGGAATTGACGTAAATTTTGACACTTGTCAGTGTCATCCACATACGTTTTGATTTCTACTCTCTCTGTAGACAAGCGCTAAAGTGGCGTTTGGCTAAAGGCCCAGGTTACTGCATTTCCTAATATTTATTGTAAATACAAATCACTATTAAAGAAACTTAAGTTACTATTCGAGAATTCTAATAGCCTGGCACAGACAGACAGGGACAGACAGACGGCGGATAGCGACTTTGTTTTATACTATTTAGTGATGTGTGTGCGTTTATGTCGATTTAAGTATCGTTAGTTTTCGAATAGTAGAATAAAATAAATTTCAATCGGCTGTCTACTTTAATTTTTTAGCCACTTTATCTTATCATAGCATTATCGCCAAAGGGAGTAAGTAGACAGAGATGCACATATACATATATTATTACATTAACTTTTCACTATTTATGTTATGAGTCCCATGTAATAGGGGGTGAGCCTATTGCCATATACCGGGCATACGTCCAGGACTATCCGCGTTTTCATTGAGAATATTAAACTTACAATGTTAACAAATTGACTCAATTTTACCAAGTATGGTGATTAATGTTCATTCTATGTTAAAAGAGGCTGGAGGAACAATGGCTGGTGATGAAGGAGATGCTGACTCAATTACTTTTTTTATATATATTTGATGGGCCGACGTTTGCCCACTATCTCGCCTGGTGGTAAGCGATGATGCGGTCTACGATGGAGCACGTCGTCCCATAAGCAACCTATTCACTCGGGTTCACAGTTTACTAGTTTTTTTTTTATAATTCTATTAGAATGACGTGTCTATGTATAATCTACTATCAGAATCGAATATATTTCTATCACGCTATATCCAGGCGGAATTCGGTATATTTCCAGAACTTAATCAATTTACTTATTTATCATAGTTCACGTAGACAAATAGTTTTAAATAGATAAAGATCTATGCGATAATTGTGATATAATATCGGTTCAAAATCTATCAATTAGATTATCAGTTAGCTCTAGCTAAATAGGTAATTATAATTATGACGTAAATATAAATTAAACGTGAATTTTACTAGTCATTTAAAATAAAATTACAAATGCCTCGTTGGCCGAGTGGTCGCAAGTGTGACTGCCGGGCAAGGGATCTCGGGATCGATTTGGCAAAGTATTACTGGTTAAAAAAATCTCAGTAGTAGCACGGAGTCTGGAATTGTGCTCAGTATATGGCAATAGGCTCACCCCCTATTACGTGGGACTCATAACATAAATAGTGAAAAGTGGCTGTTACATTGTAGATACAGTGGCATTAAGTGCCGTAATGCCTACCCCTTCAGGGATAAGAGACGTGATTGTATGTTTATATGTTATGTAAAATCAGGAATGCTAAACGCAATGATTTGGAAACATTATTATGTTTAGACTGATTATGAAGGGCGACCAAGGATTAATGACTAGTTTCATTATTTTAATACAAAAATTATCATCAAGATCATTATTTATCAAATTCGCTATGATTGTTATTCTATCACATCCTGTGATCTTATTAATTATGCGTTGTCGTGTAAATGGAAACAAATATTTTTATCGTTTTAAAGATATGAATCATAATAAAGATTTTTAGATTAATTTGTAATAAAAACGTGATCACATGCGCAATTTAAGCGTAAAATCCTGTAATTACGGGCGGTATATTACTATCACATCGGGTACGGGTATAATATTCTTTTAACAATTTTTAAATTTCAATGAATTGGTTTCGACGGTATTTATTATTGTTAAATTGCATCCTTACTAATATCCTTACTAATATTATAAATCGGAAAGTGAGTTTGTTTGTTTGTTCTGCTTTCACGCCGTAACTACTAAACCGATTGCTTTGATATTTTGCAGACGTAAAGTTAAAAGGCCGGATTAAATAATAGGGTACTTTTTATCCCGGAAAAATTTGATATTCCCGAGGGAAAACAAAAGTATTGGTATTGATGGCGCTGTGTGTATTGGTATATTATTATGTCACAGGCTACTTTATCCTTTTGTGACGCGAGCGAAGCCGCGGGTAAAAGCTAGTACAAAATAAATTATAGTAAGTTTTATTATTATTATTATACACATGCTGTATAGCTAATAAATAATAGTAATGACATACTGAAAGGAGTTTTTTTCGAAAATATCGTAAGATCTCTACCTTGACACAGATTGTTTAGCATATCACAATGTAAAATTCATTTTTAGTATCTTTATAACATCAAATTATATGTAGACCTTATCTTAGTATTCATTGCTACTTTTTAATAGTAGGAATAAATAATGTAGTATTCTTAAACATGATATTTGAATGGTTTTCTTTAGCTTGCCTCCTTTGTCTGTTTGGGTCTTTAGTAATTGGAATTTCACCCCCTTCCTGACGACCTATTAATCTGATATTGGGTACACACTCTTAATCTTGATAACCATCACTACATAGTATAAAACAAAGTCGCTATCCGCCGTCTTTTGTCCCTATGTATGCTTAGATCTTTAAAACTACGCAATGGATTTTGATGCGATTTTTTAAATATATAGAGTGATGCTTAAGGAAGGTTTATCTGTATAATACATGTATATTGCGGGGCGAGTCGCTAGTATGTACAATATAATCTAATTGTTTCTAAAACTACCTCCATTATGGATTTGAAACAAAAGTGCTTGATTGATAGGATAGAGCTCATTAAAATCGTTTAACATTAAACATATTTTTTATATATTGCTTGCTGACATTACAAAAAAATGTGAATTAATAATTGAAACAAATGCTTTGATAACAAATTATAACAATTGTCATTCGAGTGGTGACCAATGAAATCGATATCCTAGTCGATTAATCATAATAATCGCAAGCCTATTTCATCATACTTATTTTAAGATTTCGCTTAGAAAATAATCAAATAATCGTTTTTAATCCTTTTAGCTTTTCGTTACGTCACACAAAATTATTAGAATAATGATTATGATTGCAATCTTTCCTTAAGTACTTACCTACCAACTAATAGTTCTTTAATCTATCGATATGTTTATCAGAAGAATATTAATATTTGATTGTTTTTTGGTATGTTTTATTTTGTTTTTTTTTATCTGTAATAGTTATTTTTGCCTCGTTGGCCGAGTGGTCGCAAGTGCGACTGTCGGGCAAGGGGCCTCGGGTTCGATTACCGTGTAAAGTAATACTGGGTTTTAAAAAAAATCTCAGTACTAGCACGGAGTCTGAAATTGTGCCCGGTATATGGCAATAGACTCACCCCTATTACATGGGACTCATAACATAAATAGTGAAAATTGTACAGTGGCATAATGTGCACCTGTGCCTACCCCTTCGGGGATAAAAGGCGTGATGTTATATGTTATATGTAATCTATCGATTTTTTTATCAGAAGAATATTAAAATTTTATTGTTTTTTTTTTGGTTTGTTTAATAATTTTTTTATCGGTAATAGTTATTGTTTTATTATGCGTATTTTATTTTTTTATTGTTATGTTATATAGCTATTGTTGGACAGATTTGTAATTTGAACTTGTTACAAAACATTGATTGGATTTAATTTAATAATGTTTAACTTTGTGATAACTTTGGAAATGAAAAACTTAATTATGAGCTTGAGAAGGTACTAAGAAACTCAAATTTGAGACTCATTTTAGGTAACATCTTATACAATTGTACATATAAAGCGGAAGAGTTTGTCTTTTTGTTTGTTTGTTTGTTTGAACTCCGTAACTACAAGTCTGATTTGAATAATTCTTTTTGTGTTGGATAGCGCATTTATCAAGGATGGCTATAGGCTATAAAACATTATGCTACAACCAATAGGAGCTGAGCAGAGCGTGTGAAACCGCGCAGAATTAGCCAGTTAAGTACCTAATAATGATGTAATAGAAACTTGTTTTTTTATGATATAGGAGGCAAACGAGCAGACGGATCACCTGATGGTAAGCGATCAGCGCCACCCATGGACACTCGTTATTGGGAAGTTATTAATAGAGTTTGGACTTTGGCATATTGTCTCTTTTTCAGCGACTATCATAAAAAATATCGAATGATGATTAATACAACAGATATTTAATAGATAGGTATTAAACAATAATTAATCCCTGTTATCAGCTAAAGTCGGTAACAAAAGTAAAATCGGTAAAAAACCTTTTTGTTATAATAAATACCTTGAGATTTGATTTAATCCGATTATACAGATATTATTAGGAATTTTCCCAAATCGTGAGAAATTGGACTTTTATTTATATAAAACTAACGACCCGCCCCAGCTTCGCACGGGTGTAATATACATATAAAACTTCCTTAAGAATCATACTATCTATTAAAAAAATCGCATCAAAATCCGTTGCGTAGTTTTAAAGATCTAAGCATACATATGGACAGACAGACAGCGGATAGTGACTTTGTTTTATACTATGTAGTGATAACATCATACTTTTAAATTTCAGACAGGCTAGATGGTGGAGTTTAGCCTATTATGTTATTATTTATGTGTATTATAAGATAATGATCTCATTATCGTTCATCGTGTTATTACGATAAAAAATGAGAGTAATGAGATTTTCAAAATCAAAACAAAATACATAACATCACGCCTTTTTATTCCCGAAGAGGTAGGCAGAGGTGCACATTTCGGCACTTAATGCCATTGTACAATGTAATACCCACTTTTCACTATTTATGTTATGTGTCCCATGTAATAGGGGGTGAGCCTATTGCCATATATCGGGCATAATTCCAGACTCCGTGCTACTGCTGATTTAAAATCCAGTAATACTACTACATGCTATTACTGGGTTTTTAAAAACTCTCAGCAGTAGCACGGAGTCTGGAATTGTGCCCGGTATATGACAATAGGCTCACCCCCTATTACATGGGACACATAACATAAATAGTGAAAAGTGGGTATTACATTGTACAGTGGTATAATGTGCACCTCTGCCTACGCCCTCGGAGATAAAAGGCGAGATGTTATGTTATGTTATATGTAATGATGAAACTGGTGAAATTGAAAAGTAAATACAGTTATCTTATCATAAAAAACAATATAATCCTATCAGTCGACTACTGAATTTACAAGGAGTGCATTGAAGATTATGAATAGTTTATAACCTATTAAGGCCGCATTACCAAGATATTATCTGTAAAACACGCCTTTTTGCACTGTTTAATAAATGAAAATCAAGATTGTAGAGGTAATACATTGATAGGTATTAATTGAATTTTTTTTATGGAAATCGGATGACATTGTAAATGTATTATTGAAGATTAAAATAAAAAGCTTCTGAATAATGTTATTGTTTTTTTAAAGCGAAAATTCTGTAGTTTTTTTAACAAACATTGCCCCACACTAGGATTTTCTCCTGTGTCGTGGGTGCGTTTATAAACATACAAGTCCACAAACACATAATACCCGGACTCGGAACACTTTGTGGATTACACAAAGAGATGTTCCGTGCGGGAATCGAACCCGCGACACGTCGCGCGGCCGCTCGATGGCCCAGCCACCGCGCCAACAGAGCAGTTTATGCAGCAGATGTTAAATTAATATCATATGATAGTAATGCTAATAGAGGTCATAGAAGATTTTTCCCTGAGACTCTTAAACTCGGTCTAATCAGAATTAATTTCCAAAAAGGACTACAATAAGGCAATTTTCCACGTATTGAAATTATGCTTAAAATATTTATAAATGAGTTAAAAGATATTCGTAACGAATTCAATCAAAAATTTAATAAAAAACGAAACAAAAGAAAACCCAAATTATAACAAAACAAATTTTGAAAAAGGACACAAAACTGTGAATGCAAAACAAATGAATAAGGACTTTAATAAATAAACAAATAACATTGATAATGGGTTAACATGTGACGCAGATGTGAACAGTCATATACTTTCTAGAAGGTTTGGTCCTCAAAATGTTTTTGAGAGAGAAACTGACCTGGATCTCGTAGTTAAAGTGGGTGCCAGGAGCGCAAGACCGTTCGACTTTCTCGCCATGGACGCAGTAGTAAAATTTATCGCACTCAGTTTCATGGGGCAGAAGATGATGGACGTCAAAGTCAGCTGGGCAACCGTTATCAAGAACTTCTCCGATATCATTGTCAGTACCGTTGCAGGGTTTGTCGTTATCATCGATTGGAGGGTTCTCAGTGGTTGGTGGGTCAGCGATACCCTTGTCTCCGCAGTCATAATCCCAAGGGTGGACGCAGACCTGGAAAATTTTGATGGTGATGTAAGTTGTGTTTTAGGTGATGAAGAGACAGACCCAGGCGGTGAGTAATTTGAAAATATGAGCAATTTTTAATTCAATGTTTCTATTACTTCCACTGTCACACCTTTATTTTCTTTTTTATATTTTATTTAGGCTGCATCGTGCCTGGTGCTGAATAAATGTTTTTTCTTTCTTTCAGTAATACTAAGAAAGTTTTGGCGAGCATGCTTTGGCACGAATGGGCTGTTCTACTGTAGCGATACTACCGAACGTGATGATACCACGGCACAGAAAACCGACACGTTGTGTTTCGTGGTGTGAGTCAGGTTACCGTATACCCAATTATAAGTTTAAAATCAGCAATCCGCAGTGAGGCAGCGGTCGGTGTATAATGTTCAAACCTTCTCTTTGTGAGAAGGGGGAATTGGTCAGCAATGGCTACTTACAGGTTGTTGACGTGATGTGATGTGACTTTGGTACAAAACAATCAACCTAAGTATAATCTATTTCTATTTCTATAACTATTACATCAAATACTATTTCTATAATAGTAACGTAATCTGCAACAACAATGTCATTATCAATAATAATTAAACCTTCAAAAACAATGAAGGTAAAAGTTACTATCACCTCAAATTATTTTACAACTTCAATATCATAGATTAAATAGTTTTTATTTACTAGAATTTCAGTCAGGTCTTTCCCTGTCTTAATCAGAAGTACCTGAGACCTTGCCTTGTAATCTAATCTAGATCCGCTAATAAAATTCAAAGTGTTAATCCTTTTACTTTGATAAATAATAAACGTATGTTTTATGGCACCGGAATTACGCATTCGCGGAAACTATTGTACGCCTCAGTGAATGTTTTTACAACGCATTTAAAATATCAACTTACTGTCTGATTCTTCTCCCACAAGCTCAGTGATGCCCAGAGGAAGTACAGCCCGTACGACCGTGAGCTACTTGCCATCTATGAAGCCATTAAGTACTTTCGACACATGGTCGAAGCTAGGAAGTTCTCAATTTTTACAGATCACGTCGGGGTCACCACTTTAGGGAACAGAGAGTATAGTTCCCTAAGATCGGAAAAGGAGGATCCTCCGACCAGGCGAGGTGATCGTGCCTGGCGGGCTTTCTGCCCAACAGTTTTCTATCTATGTTAATTTGCATGTAAACTTTGCATGTGCGATGTAGGATTCTTGTGACGTCATCCGTTGACGTGTGGCATGTGTCGCCACAAATTCATAACTTTTTTAAGGGCGGAAAATCATCGAATGACTTCTCCCGCCTGGGTCAGGCGGGAGGGAGTGTCAGACTCTTACTGACAAGAAGACCACCCGTTCCTACTCCTGCACTTCTTCTTTATAATTAGACATCATAAGTTCACGTTTCCTAACAATGATTTCCTTCATCGTATTAATAAACTATTAAATCTTTTCTATTAGTTTATCTATCGATTATATACTATGAGTAATCTATTTTCCGCATTATAATAGTTGATATCAACTGTGGGATGCTTATCTAAAATTCCATGTGATTTCTTTGTTATACCTACGTCAGTTTTAGCTATTCGCTGTCCTTATTGACTCAGTTGATTATTTCGTTTTTGTTATTGTTGTGCAATTGTTTTACGCAATTGTTTTTTATATATGGAGTCTTTTATTCTTCATCTTTTTGGGTAAAATGTACATTAAACTTTAGTGATGTTCCATAATGCTAGAATTCCTTGAGATTTCATTTCAAAGAATATAATCTCATGTATTATGTTATCCATCTTTTGATTAAGAAAATAGAGGAAAATAAAACCACGTTTCTTTTAGACTCTACTGGTGAAGGAAAACGTCACGAGGAAACGTAGGCTTATAATTTCTAATTATAAGTTTGAAATTGACAACCCCCATCGAGTAAGCGTGGTGGATTAATGCTCAAGTCTTCAACGTGTGAGAAGAGGCATTTGGTTAATAGTGGAGACTTATAGACTGTTAATGTGATGATGACGCCTATATAGGGTTTCCAGAACAAAAAGAAGTTACTCCATCAAATATCGAGAATGATTATAATGTTGATGATATGAAGATCATTAAACAAGCAAAAATATTTAAGAAATGATGTACTTACGCCTACGATAGGGCTGAACACGGTACCAGCAGCGCAGATCCTCTCAACTAGTTGTCCCTTGTCACAGTAGTAGAATTTGTTGCAGTACACCTCGTGAGGAAGAAGCCAGTGGACATCAAAGTCAGCTGGGCATCCATTGTCCAGGAAATCACAGTCTGGTGGAGCAATGGAGCTAGACGGAACTAGGGGCAGAAAAATAAGGATATAAGTCTCTCCTGATGGTAAACAGGGTATGGATTAAGCCAAGGATACATCAGGGGACAAACGTCTTAAGGCATATATCGGAGCAATAACATATTATGTCAACAAGGACGTTGATGTTGCCAGATAAATGTCGACCAAAGTCCGGCGACATTGGGTGAAATAGCGTTTCACCCAATGTCGCTGGCTACACGTGTCGTAGAACATTTGCCACCTAGTGTACCCTGCAAATTCAGAGTAGTAGAATTATGTGACCAACTATTTTACATTGATTAAAATTGTATTTACCACCAGTTGTAGATGATGATACTTGAGTTGTTGATGAAATTGGCTGTCCAGTCGTAGTGGTTGTTGTTGTAGATGTCGTTGTTGGCGCTGGTGTTGTAGTAGATGTCGTTGTCGGCGCTGGTGTTGTAGTAGTAGTTGTAGTAGTAGTTGGCGCTGGTGTCGTAGTAGTTGTTGTTGTAGATGTCGTTGTTGGCGCTGGTGTTGTTGTAGTAGTTGTTGTAGTAGTAGTTGGCGCTGGTGTTGTAGTAGTAGTTGTAGTAGTAGTTGGCGCTGGTGTAGTTGTTGTAGTTGTTGACGCTGGAGTAGTCGTAGTTGAAGGCGTTTGTGTAGTTGTAGTACCTGATGTTGAAGTCGAACTTGATGAAGGCCATGGTCCAGGTCCAGGAAGATGGCATCCAGATTGAGAAGGATGTACACAAACCTGTGTGGAATTGAACGGATTAATTTATTATTTATTAAGTATTATGGATCTGGGGATTGGGCATTGGGCAATTGTATTGTCATTAAGCTGGACCGACATTGTGAGAGTTGCAAGTAAGCATTGGATGCAGGCGAGTTAACGTTCAATATTAAGGATGTGGAGGTTTTCGTCCAGCAGACGATGATTTGACGATAATGATGGCGATGAGTGGGAATTGAGAAATGGGAAATGGTAAATGGGTATTGGGGAATGGGAATTGGAAATGTGAAGTGGCGATAGGACCAGAATTGCGCCTTTAGTATATACTAGCTTTTACCCGCGGCTTCGCTCGCGTCACAAAAGGATAAAAAGTAGTCTATGTGACATATACCAATACACACAGCGCCATCTATACCAATAATTTCGTTTTCCCTCTAGAATATTAAATTTTTCCGGGATAAAAAGTACCCTATTATTTAATCCAGACTTATAACTTTACGTCTGCAAAAATTCAAAGCAATCGGTTTAGTAGTTACGGCGTGAAAGTGGAACAAACAAATAAACAAACAAACTCACTTTCCGATTTATAATATTAGTAAGGATAAATATCTCACCTGAATTTGAGCATTAAATTCGGTCCCTGGAGCACAGTCTCTTGGTTCGATATACTTTAGTCCATATTCACAATAGTAGAATTTGGTGCAGTCATACTCGTGGGGAAGGAGAAAGTGGGTCTCAGCTGGAGGGCAGTCTGGGTGAGGTTCCAAATAGCGGCCCATTGGATCAGATTCATCGTTCGGCCGAGCCAAGGCTAGCCCTAAGGCCGCCAAGATTAGTAAGCTTTCTGTTGAAGAAAAGAAAGGTTAGAATTGGGTTGTTACACAGTTGTATTTAGTTTGCCCTGTTTGTTTGTTTGAGTGAAATATAGTGATTGGAATTTCACCCCCTTCTTTATGACAGGTCGATCTGATATTTGGTCCACACTCTTAGTTTTGATGATAATACAATATTATAATCTAATTTTTTTCCACAAACTCTGACTGCCTCGTTGCGACTGTCGGGCATGGGGTTCAATTTCCGGGTCGAGCAAAGTATTACTGGGTTTTTTAAGAAATTCTCAGTAGTAGCAAGGAGCTTAAAAATGTGCTCGGTATATGGCAATAGGCTCACCCCCTACTTCATGGGACTCATAACATAAATAGTGAAAGTGGGTGTTGCTTTGTATAGTGGCATTAAGTGCCGTAATGTGCACTTCTGCCTTTCGCTTTGAGGATAAAAGGCGTGACGTTATGTTTTGTTTTTCCACAATTACTTCCATTACGGATATTAAACGAAAGGTCTTGATGGGTAGAATAAAGCTCGTTAAAAGCATTTAACATGAAAATAAAAATACTCTTCATGTAGGTATTACTTGATTATTTAGGCTTTTTTGCTTTATTTTTTTTATGGCATAAGCCGGTAAACGAGCAGACGGATCACCTGATGGTAAGCAATCGGCGTCGCCCATGGACACTTGGAACACCAGAGGCGTTACAAGTGCGTTACCGGCCATTTGGGGATTAGGAGTTGTTATCGTTATCGAAAACAACACGTCATGTGTAAACTTGTTTGAACATGTAATTAAGTCTGTGTTTAGTCTACTCGTTGTTTTTATTTTATGCGCATTTTACAGTTTTGTAAGTTATTTACGTCACATTTTACACTTAATGTCGAATCGACGGACTTTGTCGGTTTTTTCTCGAGAATTTATATTATATTTCTAAAGTATCTATTACATTTTAATGATATATCATCACGCCTTTTATCCCCGAAGGGTTAGGCAGAGGTGCGCAGTACGACACTTGGTGCCGCTGTACAATGTAACACCCACTTTTTACTATTTATGTTATGTTCCCATGTAATAGGTAAACCCACCCGGTTTAATGACTTAAGCATCAAATCCCAGTCTACAAGAACAGTAAATATCCACTTCTGGCCTATGAGTCTCTACCGCATTTTTTTTTCAAGCGGAGAAAATCATCGAATGACTGCTCCCGCCCGGTCGAGGCGGGAGGGAGTGTCTGACTCTTACTGACTAAAAACCACCCCGTTCCTTCACCTGCACATCAAGCCGGAGGTAACCCGTTAGGTTCTCCGAGTGTTTTCTGTGATCGCCACGTTTAGCAATATTCAAGATCACAATTTAAAACGTTCAGGTTTACCAAAGAGGTGGTCTATATCTTTCTAGTTCAAGTGCAAAATAAATGATGTTGTAAGTCCAAAGATAATACTGCAATATAGATTAACCGGTACGTTTTTACTTTTGAAATTAATCATGTTTAGTACTTACTTATCCATAATGCTTAAAGCAGCTTAAAAGATTTAATAGTGAGGCACTTTTGAATGCCGTCATACAATCAATCATATTTTTGAGACAGTGTTGTAATAATCTAGTTTTTTTTGGTAAATTTTCAAGTCATAGCAATGAGACATTAAAATAGGTGAGTAATTTTTTTTATTTTTTTTTATTTATTTATTTATTTATATCAGGCAACGAAGGCCCATATTAAAATACAATAATACCATAATATCTACTACAATTTTAACTTAAAATACGTAATTGTGAAACTGATTGAAAAAGAGTACCCTATGGAGTTTCTTGCTCGTTCTTCTCCATAGGAATCTATACTTTGGAACGTGCAAATAAAGCAACTAGAGGACTGACCGACAGACTGATATTTGATTATTGTTTCAATAGTTTGTTTTGACGTCCAAAAGTGCCTAACTGAAATAAATGATTTTGACTTTGACTTTGATTTTTGGTTTGACATGTTTGTTTGTGTAACAAAACCCGACGGACGGTCGAAACTAAAAACTGTTATTCTGTAAGACGTAAATTCAAACTGTCGATGTGAGTTCGATCGCGGTCGATTCGAAAATGCATTTTAATGGTCCAATCGAATTGACTTTGACGAGTTTACTTAGTTGAAAATTGATAGAAAAATAAATTATTTTTAGTATTAGACATACAGAAGTCGTATGTAAGTTTCAAAATGGAATTGACTTTGACAATTTCGCATGGTTAGATTAAACAGATAAAAAAAATATTTTTTAAATATTTGTCATACAAATATCATATAACTGGTTAATTATCATTAAATTTGACGTAATTCCTGGTAGCTGTTTGCGACGACCGACTGTTTGTTATCTTGGATTAAAATAGGTACCTACGTAAAAATAATCTAATGATTACAGCTGAAAAACTACCTATATTTCCGCAAAGGAATAAGCCGTAGATGATTTTTTATTGATTAGTGAATGTACATAATTATAGATGTTTTAATTTCATTGTAGTTTATAATAAAAGTTGATTAATTCGTAAAATATTATGAATTGTTTTACTGTATTAAAAAAATATTTATATTACAGTTATTACGTTAGATCCAGAGATTTAAAGAATTAAAATGTAAACTTTATCTTTAATGTTATTTTGTACGATTTGTTATTGCAATTAAAATAAAAAAGGCTGCACCAGTTTTTTATAAAATGTATACAAAAAAAACAATAAAAATAAAGAAATGTATTTAAAAAATTAATTTTTTTTTATCATTTCAAATTTTAATCACACTTCCGATTAATAAAAACCGGATTATTAATCGGAACATCCGATTAATAGATTAATTCTCATTCATTAATCACTTCCGAAATAAATTTTCACAAAATTAAATACGAAAAAAAAATAGAAAAAAGGACTTACTGAACATTCCAACTTAGGTGTTAATTTTTTTTTTGCACACACAGTCTAGAAGACCACTTTGGATATGCACTAATTACACAAATTCAAATATAATATATACCCGAAAAATTTATTTAATCTCCGATAATTCCGATTATCTTTTAAAAGGTAGCGATTATTTTACCGATATTAATTGTAAACACACTGATATCTATTTTTGGGTTCCGTAATCGTGAGTGAAAATCTTCGAAAGATATTGTTTAGATTGCGAATCTAGATTTTTTGCGATAATCGCCTGGGGTAGTCCGGATGCATGTTTTTCAAATTACCGATTGATGTAACAATGATTTTGATAATATTTTCAGGTGTTCATGTTAGTCGAGCGAAATGTTAATGGATTTTACGTATTTTTGAGCTTTTCTGACATGATAAAAATATTTTTGTAATAATGATCGTGATACATACTACATAACATAACATAATATCACGCCTTTTATTCCCAAAGGGGTAGGCAGAGGTGCACAATCACATACTATTCACTATTTATGTTATGAGCCCCATGTAATAGGGGGTGAGCCTATTGCCATATACCGGGCACAATTCCAGACTCCGTGCTACTACCTACTGACAATTATTTAAAAACCCAGTAATACTTTGCTCGACCCGGGAATCGAAACCGCACTTGGGACCACTCGGCCAACGAGACAGGCAATAATTTATGTTTTATTTTACAAAATATTTATCAGTGCTATAAGCAATCTAAAGTATCTGTCATTACCAGTGATCGGGAAAAGGTGAGCTAATTTACCTAAACTTCAAGGAACAAAAACAAAAAGTGGAGACATCCTTACTACAACATATTTTCGGGAAAGTTCCGGTTCCAGTTTCGGGATATTTATATATTACATTTAATATAATTGTTATTAATACAGAAAACAATTGATTTCGTTTCGTCACTGGTCATTACGCACGAGATTACCATTTTATATCATTACTGCCAATGGTGTGTCAGTGGATAACCATTGGAAAGTCATAATAACGCCATTACATTAGTAGATTACCAAACTTCTCAAAATCAACAATTTTGAAATCAATGTTAGATCATTCTGACACTATTGTAATAGAACACTTGAGGCCCAGGTGATCCGTCTGCTCATTTGCCTCCTATTCTATAAGAAAAGTGCTATGAATAGATATTTAATTTTGCAAAGTAACACTTTTTTTATGGCATAAGCCGTTAAACGAGCAGACGGATCACCTGATGGTAAATAATCGGCGTCGCCCATCGACACCTGGAACACCAGAGGCATTACAAGTGCGTTACCGGCTTTTTGGGGATTAGGAGTTTGAGGATCGTTGGGGATTAAGCCTCCGGTAACCTCACTCACACGACGAAACACAACGCAAACGTTGCTTCACGTCGGTTTTCTGTGAGGCCGTGGTATCACTCCGGTCGAGCTGGCCCATTCGTGCCGAAGCATGGCTCTCCCACACTTGGTAAATTACGCGTCAGGTGTTTGTTGATGCCTAAAATATTATCTTCAGTAATTTTTTTAGGAAAATCGGCCTATTAAATACACGATAGAAATCTTAATTTATTATGCCTAACCACTTAAGCATGTATCTATGTTTTTAATACAGTTTTTTTAATAAGCATGACTTAACAAAACAACGTATGAACAATCCTTACTATCCTTATCCTTACTAATATTATAAATCGGAAAGTGAGTTTGTTTGTTTGTTCCGCTTTCACGCAGTAACTACTAAACCGATTGCTTTGAATTTTTGCAGACGGAAAGTTCGAAGTCCGGATTAAATAATATGGTGTCTTCAGCTAGGCCTTTTATCCCAGAAAAATTGATATTCTTGAGAGGAAACAAAAGTATTGGTATAGATGGCGCTTTGTGTATTGGTATATATCACATAGGCTACTTTTTATCCTTTTGTGACGCGAGCGAAGCCGTGGGTAAAAGCTAGTAATCTTATACTTCTGACAAAGCTTTATAACATAACATAACATCATGCCTTTTTTCTCCGAACGGGTAGGCAGAGGTGCACATTATACCACTGTACAATGTAACACCCACTTTTCACTATTTATGTTATGAGTTCCATGTAATAGAGGGTGAGTCTATTGCCATATACCGGAGACATTTCCAGACTCCATGCTACCACTGAGAATTTACAAAGCTTTATATACATACTATATAAAGCTGAAGTTTGTCTGTTTGTTTTTTTTGAACGCGCTAGCCTCAACAACTACTTGGTCCGATTTGAAATAGTCTCTTTATGTTAGATAGTCCATTTATCGAGGAAAGATATAGGCTATAAAACATCACGCTAATCATAGCGTGATTGATCACAATAGCAATCGAGCAGAGCGGGTAAAACCGCGCAGTAGTAGCTACGTTTCAAATAAATGACTACCTACTATATCTAATATTTTAAGTGTAATTTTAAGTGTGGGAGAACCATGCTTCGGCATGAATGGGCCGGCTCGACCGGAGTGATACCACGGCCTCTGAGAAAACCGACATGAAGCAACGTTTGCGTTGTATTTCGTCGTGTGAGTGAGGTTACCGGAGGCCCAATTACCCTCCCCTTTACAATCTCCCCAATCCCTGAATCCCCAACGATCCTCAAACTCGTAATCCCCAAAAGGCCGGTAACGCACTTGTAACGCCTCTGGTGTTCCAGGTGTCCATGGGCGACGCCGATTGCTTACCATCAGGTGATCAGTCTGCTCGTTTACCGGTTTATGTCATAAAAAAATACGTCCATGTTGGCGGACGTATTTAAAGTCGAGTAATTAATATACTAAAACGTTCTTCGAAGCG